AACCACATCCTCTTTCTACACCAAGAAGTAAAGAACGAATAACAACTAAAATTGCAGAAATGTTGTACCAGCCAGCAAACCTGCTAAAAAAATTCAAATACTACAAATCTCTCATTTGATATGAAGAAAACACAAATCTATAATACAACAAGTTTTCCTCATACAGGAAAAGAAAAAAACATTTCGAAAACTAAAGAAACGGTAGAAAATATAGTATTTTATCGGTTATGAAGAGGATTTGCACCAGTGGGCACTTTTCTCATATCTGCAGTCTCCCAGTCATCACCACCTTCAATTGTTACTGATCCTTCTGGAGCCAATGGTGGAGGAGCCAAATCAAGAACTGCAGAGTGTCTAGAACATTCCACAATCATGACAGAGCTATGGAAGAAACTTTCTGGTCGCATAAAAACTAACAATACAGCAAACAAGCATAAACCAAACCCTTTCCTCTTCTCTCGAAAGCAAATCATTATATGTTTCACAACAACAAATGATAAGGCTTCTGTATTATGAAGAACAATGAGAGTGGGAAAGGAGTGTTATTAGTTTTGTAAGTCAAATTGGTGCTAGCTAGATTGGCCAAAGATTAAAATTTAGAAGATAAATTCAAAGGAGAGATTCTTGGTACTGTCACATGGGAGATCGGCATGATTCCTGGAAACTTCTAATATTATTTCTCCCTCTACTTCTGAGCCTTGGGACTTCCTTCTAATCTTTGTTTAACAAGGTCTAATCACATTTTGCATATTAAAATATAGGTGCCAAAGCATTGAGTTCTGTGGACTTCATTGAAGTCTGAAAACTATATTAGTTTCAGCATTCCACTTCAGTCTCAGCCTCTTCTCTAATCTCCTCATTAGCCTTAATTCAAATGATTCCAATTCAATAGTAATATTAATATTGGTGGTCAAATTGACAGTTTTCTGACGTCCCTATAGAGTATGTGTTAAGTGATACATAGCGGAGATATTTTAAAGAAGCTTGCCTTGATTAGATGAGCCCCAGGACATTGGTTTTTTAAACTAATCACACTAAGATGTGCTTTTGGGGAACAGACACAATTAAGAGGAGCTACCAAACAAAAACTGCCTTGCGATCGCATTAATGATACCTTGAGAAAGAAGGGATGTCATGTGTAGAAGGACATTTCTCGGAAGAACTGGAACTTTGAAATCCCCAGCATTGAAGGGGAAAAGGGTAAATTGGTAGGAAGTGAAATCGGAAGGGAGACGAAGAAAGGCAAAACAGCAGGGCTCCAAAAGAGTTATGTTTTTGAAGCAGTGAGAATGTTTGACAAGCATTTCACTAGGCAATAAATGCATACCATCAAGAAAATAAATATGATTTATAGAAGTATTTCTCAGATAGTTATTGCTTTCACATTCCAAGAATAGTCGATGATTTCCAATTCATGAATTGAATCGCACAATAATGTACCTGTAATGTTAAGAGCTGTTGATCAAGAAGACAAAAATAAATTTAGCACTTGATAGCTTTTTAATTTGGTTTTGCACGCAATTGATAAATTTATTGTTCAGGCTCTAGATTTTAGATGAAGGTCAACCTCCTCACTACTTTCAGACATGCAATATCTATTGAATCAATTAAACGTCTTGTGTTTGCACAATTGGACCAAAGGACCTAATAGACAACTTTGAAACCTAAAACAAAGATTATATTCATGGTTAAATCTCTTTGCCACTCCCTCAACAACAATTTTCATTATATCCCTTTCCTCCTCCAACTATTGACTGCACTTGTTCTACTCAAGGTGGAGATTCACATATGGATAACATTATATGAAAATTTCTTACTGGTGATCATGCCGAGAGGAGTTGGCCACATTAATGTCACATGCCTCTTTTGTAACAATAGTTCAGAGTCCACTGATCACATCTTCCTCCACTTCGTCATCGACTGCAACACATTGAGACTATTGAAGCTAGAACATCCCATTACATCTTGTTAACCAATGAGATTGTATCATCATCGCCTGCTACTTCTATATCTGGAGTGGATTGAGCTAGAGTGTATCAGAGTAAATTCAAAGATGTAAACGCTCTTCGCCTGATTTTACAATCATCTTCCTTCTACTATGACAACATCAGCTTACACCGAGTACATAGCTTAAAAGAAGGAGTAACACCTTGATTCATAGGCCCATGTTAAGCAGTTTATTTTCTTATCCTTTCTCTTATCTCCTCCCACTGTACTTCTTCCTCTTCTTTTATTACTCCTTAATGTATATTCTATCTATTTTCTCTAAGTAATAAATTTCATGGACACATTGCACACAAAAAAAGAAAGGAAAAAAAAATACTGCCTACGATTATTTGTTCTCAGATTTCAGGAAAGAAGAAGTTTGGTGGTAATAACCATTCATGAAAATGATAGCTGATGAATTCACTCCCTCTATAACTGCTACAATCCACTTCACTTTGAGATCAACATGTAAGCTGGAGATTACATAGTAAAACTTGATGAAGGGGAAGTACATGTAAAGATCTCTGAAGCACAAAGATAAACTTATTGCAGAGTATAGTGATGACTTACAAATATCAACTGCTTGATAAGTGAGAAAGCTAGAATGATAATATACTATTAGAATTTACTTCAAGAGCTTGGAACTATACCATTTCTTTGTGGAGTAGTAAGGATAAATGACAACGGCATCAGCCACTAGATAAATATTCCTAATACGGATATTAAATTGACATAGATTATGTTATCGGTAACAAATTACGGTTACAAAAAACAAAACGGATGCTTACAGTTGTACAAGGGAGCAACTTCAAACTCAGTTGGAAAAGAATCACCAACTTTTAGCAAGCTTCTAAGATATGATGCTTAACTAGTAGAATAAATAGCTGTGGCCAGTAATAAAGGCGGTGCCCATGAGAAGGCAGGCGACAAGGCAACAGTTCCCGCTCCATAAAATCTCATGAGAGAACAGCATTGCTAGAGAAACCACCAATCAGGCATTAGATGATGGTCAGATAATATCAATTAGCAAATACATGAACAACATCACCTTACCTTAAAATGTATGCAAGTGAAAATGGCACATGCCAAGAGAAGAACCCTTCTTTTTGTCCTCATCGTTTTGGCCACTCTCTGCTCCGATTCTACTGTTTTTCTGGCAGAAGCCTGAAAGCAAGCGGCTGATCTCTCCGCACACAAGCAATAGATGAGAAGCATTAGAGGAGTAACAACAAAATACATGAAAGGCAATGTGATAGTCAATACATCAGGATTGCCAAGCCCCATCAGGTTCATTGTATAAGGACTATTTACGCTCCACCCAAATATATACATCGTTGCAATATCCCCATTCTCAGATGTCATATGACCCCAAAACCATGGCAATCTGACAAGCCACAAAAGGTAAAATACCATACAACACCATAATGCCTTATTCCTCGAGCCCTCAATCAGCACCCAGAGTACACTAAAGAGGACTCTTCTTTGCTGGACAGGTGAAGAGACGGAAACTGAAGCTGCCCATTTCTGATATGACACACTTCTATCCATAAATTGATTCAGAAGTTTGGGAAGGGAAAGAAATATAAAAAGAAAGCAAAGGTTGCCCCATAAAAGTATTGAATATAAGGCCTCCCATCGAATCCTGAAAACCAAATGTACCAACAAAGTAGTGGGATATTCTGCTGCTACTTTACCTTCAACTGAAAATGGTCTGAGTGCACTCTGGGTCTCCTTACCTTGAGAATCTAGCACAAAAACCTGCAACCAGTAACGAGCAGCAGAAGGATCGTTTCTGTAATTTTCAGCATTCCATTTGGCTTGATATAGAGGTTTGTTGTCAATGGAAGAATCGAAAATAGCAGGCAGCAGTGGTATTTCCTCAACTATCTTAAAAGCTCTTGACGAGTCAAAAACCTTAGCAGTCACATTTCGGATTGGTAAAGCAGAAAAAACAAGAGTATTTATATCATTTCTTAATAATTGAGTTTGTGGCTCAGCATCCAAGCGATTCATACTCCTTGAGTCTGTGGGGTATGTGATGAGAATGGTGGTTGGAAAATCATTTTGTTTGTTAGAAAGTTCCATATCCGCAAATGAAACTTGCCCTTCATCAATAGATAAAATTCTGATCAGTTTGAACTCTTTCCAGTCTCCTAATTCCCACTCCCAGAACTGTTTCTTAACTGTATCAGCCACTTTTACTGAATGCCGCTTCCAAAGTTGTTTGCTAAATTTTGCATGTAGGTGACCACAAATGTAACCAGATATAGATTGCTTTGCAAAAATAGTTTCATATCTCTGTCCTTTCTTGGATGAAGCAGTAAATGACATTGGAAAGTGTCCAAATACTACTTTGGTAACTGATGAGTTAGGGTGAGTGTTCTCCCAATATCTAAGTTCTGATTCAATAGTATTAATATGGTCATCAGTTGGATGGCCAAACAAATTTGATGGTCCACGGATACCTATGTGCATCGTGTCATCTATACCCAGAAACATATATGTCCTATCATCTCCCTGCAAAAGACCTTTTTGAAAATATCAGTTCAAACATTGTAAAAATGCAGGGATTAATAAGTTATCAATTTCCAGAGATATGGTTGGACAAAGGACTGATAGCTTGCTGTATCAAAATATACTTAAAAAACTCAGAAAATGTACTGTATAAATTACACTAAGAATATTCTTGATTTACATTAGCCATACTGATGTTACATGTGTGCATGTTAGCCTAAACCTATTGAATTTCAAGCAAGTTACATTTCTAAATAGCTGAAATCAACTATTAGCCTAAACTTATTGAATTTCAAGCCTGTTATGACGTGTAGCTAGGAAAACAAGTTTAAATCAATCAAGATTGTTGTTCTACAAAAAGAAATGCATCAAATGATAACCAGATGAGTGGCAATTGGAATAAGATTTGAATCATGATTATACAATGTACTCAAATGATATCTATTTTAATGGGTAGTTTGAAGAGTGAACTTAAGAACCTACCACAAGAGATATGCTGTGGATGTTGCTAAGCCTGTTGAGCTGTGAACTGATGCTATAAGAGGAAAAGAAATCCAAACTGCTGCCAGCATAAGGAACTCCATACTTGTCGTGATTTCCTCTTATATCGAATATTCTTCGCTTTTCTATGCCACCTTGTCTAACAACTGCATCCATAGACCTTTTGTATTGAATCCATTCTGACTCATCCTGTCTTGTGCTTGTTCTTTTTCTGTTCTTAGCATCTGAAGTCAATGACATAATATAAGTAGCATGATTCAGATGTTTGAGGAAACGGCGGGATGCAGGACTCTAAAATAAGAAACTGCTTAGAGATGTAACTGTGTTAAAAAGTAACCAGTATGATAGCATAGACACAACCAAGAAAGATATTCAGCCATGAATCCACAACGGAGAAGGAAAAAAAATCTTGAGACCTGTTGAGTCGAGTGTGGAGATCAAACCTTGCAGGCGAGATTTTTCAGGCGAGGTTGTCGGCAACCAGATGCAGGCGAAGCTCTTGAACAGGCAAGGTCGAGTTGGCGAACTCCAGGCGGGCTCGCGACAAGTTGCAGGCGAAAATTGGAGATCTTCTTGCAGGCGAGTTCGACAAGTGACAGGCGAGCTCGAGCTCCTCGCAGGCGAGATCGTTGACATGCGACGACAGCCTGTCGCCAGCTATCCTAGGGTTTCCTTATAAAAGGGAAACCCTGTGCCCTAGCCTGTGTGTCTTTTTCCCCCCTTCTCTCTCGCGATCTCAGAAACCCCATTGGCGGCAGCTCATCCTCTCCCTCTCCGGCAATCTCTCTCTCCCTCTCTCTACCTTTTTTCGTTCTCAGAGATTTGAGAAAAAGGGGATTTGTTTAAGAGGGAGATTTGAAGAGAGGATTAAGAGGGGGTGTTATTTAAGAGAGAGGAATATTCACTGTAGCTACAGTGAAAGATTATATTTATTGAGGAATCTCAAGTTTGAGATTCGCTCTTGAATTGTAATTTTTTGTTAGATTAATAAGAAATTTACTGTGTAGCTCCCGAGGATGTAGGCAGTTGCCGGACCTCGTTAAATCTTGGTGTACTTTTTCTATTCTGCGTTTCTGCTGTCAAAGGGGTTTCGGCGTTAAATTCCCAACAACTGGTATCAGAGCTTGAAACGATCTAGAGGAAGTCGGATTCGAGTGGGAGTCATGACCGCAAATAAAGGAAAAATGAGACTTGAGAAGTTTGATGGAACAGATTTCAGATTCTGAAAAATGCAGATAGAGGATTATCTGTATCAGAAAAATCTGTATCAACCACTATCGAGGAAGAAGCCAGATTCTATGAAGGCAGATGAGTGGAACCTTCTAGATAGACAAACCCTCGGAGTTATCAGATTGACGTTGACTCGTAATGTTGTGTTCAATATAGCGAAGGAGAAGACCACAGCGGGTCTTATGGCAACACTCTCAAATATGTATGAGAAACCATCAGCCGCAAATAAAATTTATTTGATACGGTGGTTATTCAATCTGAAAATGGCAGAAGGCGCGTCAGTAGCACAACACCTCAATGAACTCAACACGGTCACAACCCAATTGAGTTCAGTTAAAATTGAGTTTGATGAGGAAGTTCGGGCGTTGATACTTTTATCTTCCCTCCCAGAGAGTTGGAATGCTACAGTCACGGCAGTGAGTAGCTCGTCGGGAAACAACAAGTTAAAGTTCGACGACGTTCGTGATCTGGTTCTCAGTGAGGAGATCCGACGAAAAGAGCCGGGTGAAGCTACAACCTCTTCAGTATACATACAGAGTCAAAAGGTAGAAATTCAACCAGAGGGAACGGACGAGGCAAATCAAACTACAGAGGTAGATCAAAGGACAGGAGGTCCAAGTCAAGGAACCCAAGCAATAGTTCGAAGGATATCGAGTGTTGGAATTATAAAAAGACCGGGCATTACAAGAATTAGTGTAAGAGTGCTCAGAAGGAGAAGGAGTCGAAAGCAGAGGTGAATGTCACTTTCACTTCAGGAGGAGACGACGCATTGATATGCTCTTTGGAGAGCAAGGAGGAATCTTGGGTGTTAGATTCAGGAGCGTCGTTCCATGCTACTTCTCAGAAAGAATTCTTTGAGAAGTATGTTCCCAAAAATCTTGGATACGTATACCTTGGTGATGATCAACCGTGTGCTATTGTGGGCAAATGTGTGGTGAAAATTAAGTTGAACGGGTCAGTATGGGAGCTGAATGATGTAAGGTATATTCTCGACCTGAGAAAGAACTTGATATCCGTAGGTCAGTTGGCTGGCGAAGGATACACCACGATCTTCCACGAAGATGATTGGAAGATCTCAAAGGACGCAATGACGATTGCCCAAGGCAAGAAGACTGATACCCTATATATGACAGCAGGTGCACGTTGTTTGATCTCAATTGCAGCAGGCAATGAGACTTCAAAGCTGTGGCACCAGAGACTCGGTCATACGAGTGAGAAGGGAATGAAGATCATGCACACAAAGAGAAAACTCCCAGGTCTAGAATCAATTGATTTAGATATGTGTGAAGAATGCATACTTGAAAAGAAGAAGAGAGTCAGCTTTCAGACAAGTGGCAGAACCCCCAAGAAAGAGAAGCTAGAGCTCGTCCACTCAGATGTTTGGGGACCAACCACCACCGCGTTCATTGGTGGGAAACACTACTTTGTGACTTTCATTGATGATCACTCTCAGAAAGTGTGGGTCTACTTTCTAAAGCATAAATCAGAAGTATTTAAGGTTTTCAGGAGATGGAAAGTCATGGTCGAGAATGAGACCGGTCTGAGAATAAAGAAGCTCAGGACCGACAATGACGGTGAGTATGAAGACACCGGATTCAAGAAGTTCTGCTATGAGCACGGGATCAGAATGGAGAGAACCGTGCCCGGCACGCCTCAACAAAATGGTGTAACTGAGCGGATGAACCGAACGTTGACAGAGAGAGCCAGAAGCATTCGGGTACAGTCAGTCTTACCGAAGTAGTTTTGGGTAGAAACGGTCAACACAACAGCTTACTTGATCAACTGAGGTCCATCGGTTCCATTGGAGCACAGAATACCAGAGGAGGTATGGTGCGGAAAGGAGGTAAAACTCTCACATCTTAAAGTTTTCGATTGTGTAGCTTACGTGCATATTAGTGATCAAGGCAGGAATAAGCTTGATCCCAAGTCAAAGAAATACACTTTCATCGGCTATGGTGAAGATGAGTTCGGCTACTGTATTTAGGACAACGAAAACAAGAAGGTGATCAGTAGCAGAGATGTGATATTCAACGAGAAGATGATATACAAGGACATGCACAAGACAGATGACTCAGAGAGCGAGTCAATATTTGTAGATGTAGATGATGTCCCAAGTAACCTCTCGGAAGAACCCAATGCAGAAGGTCCTCAGCCAGAAGAGCCTGTTGGACAAGCTGGTGCGCAAGAGCCCGACGCACCAGCTCCGATTTTGAGGAGATCTTCACGGTCTTCTGTGCCTAACAGGAGATACATGAACTATCTGTTGTTGACAGATAGAGGAGAGCCTGAAAGCTTTGATGAAGCTTGTCAGAGTGGAGATGCGAGCAAGTGGGAGCTTACCATGAAAGATGAAATGAAGTCTCTCATTTCAAACCAGACGTGAGAACTAGCTGAGTTACCTACGGGTAAGAAGGTACTCCACAACAAATGGGTGTACCGGTTGAAAGAGGAGCAGGATGGTTTCAGAAGATATAAGGCCCGGGTAGTTGTTTAAGGATTCTAGCAGAATAAAGGAATTGACTACACTAATATTTTTACTCTCGTGGTAAAACTAAATACTATCAGGACAGTGATGAGTATTGTAGCAATTGAAGATCTTCATCTCGAGCAGTTAGACGTGAAGACGGTGTTTCTTTATGGAGATCTAGAAGAGAAGATATACATGCATCAGTCAGAAGGTTTCTCAGAAGAAAAGAAGAAGAACCTGGTGTGCAGACTCAAGAAGAGCTTGTATGGCCTGAAACAAGCCCCAAGATAGTGATACAGGAAGTTTGACGGTTTCATGCACAAGGAAGGTTTCCAGAAGAGCAATGCCGACCACTGTTGCTATTTTAAAAGATACCAGTCCAGTTATATCATCTTACTGTTGTATGTTGATGATATACTGGTTGTAGGTGCAGATATGAAAGATATCAGGAGTTTGAAACAGCAATTGTCAAAGGAGTTTGACATGAAGGACTTGGGTCCAGCAAAGAAGATCCTTGGAATGTAAATCACGAGAGATAAGAAGAGAGATCTCTTGCAGTTATCTCAAACGGAGTACATCAACTGTGTTTTGTAGAGATTCAACATGGGCGACGCCAAACCAGTGAGCATACCATTGGCCAGCCATTTTAGTCTATCGAAGGATCAGTCTCCTCAGTCAGAAGAAGAGAAAAAGAGTATGACTCAGGTCCCTTACGCCTCAGCTATCGGAAGTTTAATGTACGTAATGGTCTGTACGAGACCAGATATTTGCCATGCAGTGGGAGTGGTCAGCCGTTTTATGTCGAATCCAGAAAAAGCTCATTAGGAAGCGGTCAAGTAGATTCTGAGGTATCTATGAGGCACCACACAGAAGTGTTTGTACTTTGGTAAGGAAGAGGTAGAAGTACAAGGGTACGTAGATGCAGACTTCGACGGCGAAGTCGATCACCGAAGAAGCACCATCGGCTACGTATTCACTGTCGGAACTACAGCTGTTAGTTGGATGTCACAGATATAGAAGATTGTCACTCTGTCCACTACAGAAGCTGAGTATGTTGTAGTGATTGAAGCCAGTAAAGAGATGATATGGCTTTAGGGTTTGTTAACAAAGCTGTGATTCAAACGGGAGAGAAATGTCTTGCACAGCGATAGTCAGAGTGCGATTCATTTGGCTAAGAATTCCGTATTTCATTCTAGAACGAAGCATATTCTGCTTCGGTACCACTTCATCAGATCCATGTTGAAAGATGACGTGTTGAAACTGGAGAAGATTCTAGGAAGTAAGAATTCAGCAGACATATTAACAAAGACGGTGACCGTTCAGAAACTGGACTTGTGTGTGACTTCAGTTGGCCTTCATGTATAGGTGATGAGGGCGGAGCCACACAAGAGGATGAGCTTGATGAGATAGCCTGTTGATGACGGTTTTATCTCTAAGTAGGAGATTGTTGAGTCGAGTGTGGAGATCAAACCTTGCAGGCGAGATTTTTCAGGCGAGGTTGTCGGCGACCAGATGTGGGCGAAGCTCTCGAGCAGGCGAGGTCGAGTTGGCGAACTCCAGGCGGGCTCGGGACAAGTTGCAGGCAAAAATTGAAGATCTTCTTGCAGGCGAGTTCGACAAGTGACAGGCGAGCTCGAGCTCCTCGCAGGCGAGATTGTTGACAGGCGACGATAGCTTGTCGCCAGCTATCCTAGGGTTTCCCTATAAAAGGGAAACCCTGTGCCCTAGCCCATGTGTCTTTTTCCCCCCTTCTCTCTCTCGCGATCTCAGAAACCCCATTGGCGGCAGCTCATCCTCTCCCTCTCCGGCAATCTCTCTCTCCCTCTCTCTACCTTTTTTCGTTCTCAGAGATTTGAGAAAAAGGGGATTTGTTTAAGAGGGGGATTTGAAGAGAGGATTAAGAGGGGGTGTTATTTAAGAGAGAGGAATCTTCACTGTAGCTACAATGAAAGATTGTATTTATTGAGGAATCTCAAGTTTGAGATTCGCTCTTGAATTGTAATTTCTTATTAGATTAATAAGAAATTTACTGTGTGGCTCCCTCAAGTTTGAGATTCGCTCTTGAATTGTAATTTCTTATTAGATTAATAAGAAATTTACTGTGTGGCTCCTGAGGACGTAAGTAGTTGCCGAACCTCGTTAAATCTTGGTGTACTTTTTCTATTCTGCGTTTCTGCTATCAAAGGGGTTTCGGCGTTAAATTCCCAACAAGACCTTGATAAAACAAGCCAATTATTGGAAAAGTGCGCCGCATATCATAGGTTTTCTCTACTAAGGAATTCTTTTTATTCTAAAAAAAGAGATGACTTATCAAGCTAGACAACAATGCTAGTCAACTTTTCTCCAAAACAAAAAACATAGGTAGACAACTAGGGGGAAATAGTGTTGAAAGAAGAAATAAAGTACTAAACTCCAACAGATAGCGCAAAAAAAGCTTGGTAAATTACAAAAGACCCCCATCGTCTATACCTTATTTGTCAATAAACCCCTTCATCTAGAAAGTTCAACAAAAATCCCCTTTTCAATGTTCTTTAATGAAACCGTTAATTAGTAATAAAAATTTGCTTTTCAAATGAAAATGACACTTGACTCAAGGTCTGAAAAGACATCTACACTTTAATTCACAGATTTAGGAGTCGAAGGAAGAAAATATGAATATATTTTTTGGATAAAGTTAATAATCTAAACTATTTATCACTAACCTAGAACTTTGCATGCAGACACCTGTCTAGACGTTTGAAGAAAATAATGAATAAGTTATTATTTTTGGATAAAGTTAAAAATATAATCTATTTATCACTAATCTAGAATTTTGCATGCAAATTTGAAGAATCAAATTCTATCACAAAAGAAACAGTTTCACTAGTGATCATAGATGAAGGGTTGTTTTGTTTAACTTTTTTGATCAGGGCGCTTCTTGGAAAACATAGTATAGATGATGGGGGTTTCTTGTAATTTACTCTCACATATGGCTTACAAAAACAAATAGCTTTAGTCACTGATTCCTCAGCGTGGTGTTTGCTAGAATACAGCCTAGTCCAGCTTATCTGAAGAATATCTTATATTGTATGTAAGAGCAAATTTACACATGCCACCTTCCTTGATTGTTCAGAAATTCTAAAACTTTTATATCATTCTAGTGAGACAAGCACCAAGAAATCTTTAAATAATTACAATCGTCCGAGGATATATTACAATTGTGCAGTTAAGCTCTTCTTCTACCGTTTAAGGCTTTGTAATTGATCAAGAAAAACCGAGTCAGATAAAAGTTGTTTTTATCAAATAAACATTAAAAATATGCTAATGCATTCATGTTACACATCTTGATCATAGAACGTTTTCTGAGATTTAATGGGGAAATCAGTTACTAAATTAAACATGGGTCTGTTAGAAGGCTCATCATGCAATTAGTAATTTTGAAATAATTAGCAAAAAAGTTGAGATGAATTTGAAGAAGGAAAGCAAAAAAAGATACCAGTGATGTCTCCGGTGATGAGAAGCAAATGGGGTCGAATAATTCTGAGCGCAGGTCCCAGCAATCTATCCAAATCCTCAGCTCGATCATGATGATAAGCGCTAATATGGAGATCAGAGACTTGAACAACCCACGCGATGTTGCCCTCCATTGGAAAAACCTCTCTAGAAACCATCGAAGATGAAGAGAAACCAAAGGAAACGAGGAAGAAGAGGAGAGAGATCAAGAAATATGCCATTTTTAATTGCCATTGAAATTTGGGGGTTAGGGTATTTATTTGGGGAGGATCTCGATTCGATTCAAGAGTCGAGCCGTTTGGAGTTGGGCGAGTTCGTTGACCCGTAAAGGAAACGATGACTTTGACCTTTTTAGAATAAAGTAGGCTGGTTTATTGGCTGGTTTATTCTTAGAAGCCCCCTTGCGATATGCAGCTGGATGTTTGCCCCATTTTGATTAGTTTTTGCCTTTTTTTTTAATGTATATTTTGCCCAGAAGCGGGCGATACAAGTCCTTCTGGTACAGATAGTCCTCCATCTGCGACTTCCAGTAGGCGAAATCCGATCCGTCGAACTTCTCAATCTTTGATTTGCTTTCCTCTGCCATGGCTTTCACACAAATTGCTGAACGAAGCTCTGATACCAGTTGTTGGGGATTCGAAACAATCAATCGAACCCTTGCCCTTCCGGACCTTGTGTTGAAAGTAGGAAAGTAGGAATAAACCACAAATAAAGATCTAACCTTGTAAAAACAGTAAAAGAGACGAACACACAGATTTAACGAGGTTCGGCAACGTGCCTACGTCCTCGGGAGCCACACCACACAATCTTTCTATTAATTGAAGAAGAAAATACAAGCTCTCAAACAAGGGGTAAATCTCTCTGAGATTCTCTCTCTCTTAGCAGTCAAAAAGCTCTCTTTTTTTGATGTCCTGCAAACCCTAGAAACGTTTGGGTATTTATAACAAACCCCAGCAGAACAGGATTCCTAGATAAAATAGGAAACAGCGAATCTGCGTCGCGGTCGACCGCTTTGCCAAGGTCGGTCGACCGGTCAGAACGACGAAATCCTACAGGGTCTTGTGCACGATATCGGTCGACCGCAGCGACCACGCCGGTCGACCGGCCAGAGCGAAAACTTCTTCTCAGTCTCCTGCAGTGCACGCGGTCGACCGGCTCTGCCACTGCGGTCGACCGCACAGTCTTTGACTGTTTTTCTTCGTCTTTTCGATTGCAGCTTTGGGTCTACACACTTAGACTAACAATCTCCCACTTGGAGACCAAAGCGTCATCAACGAGCTCACCCGAACTCTCCCCTTCTTCGCATGTATATTTTTCTCTGAAAAAATTCTTTCTTCAATCAACATCCCGACAATCGCGCCGATCCTCGTAGTGTGGCTCCGCCTTCGTCTTCTACTCGTGAAGGCTAACTGAAGTTGCGCACAACTCCAGTTTCTCAATGGTGACTGCCTTCGTCAACATGTCTGCCGGATTTTGACTCCCCAAAATCTTCATTAAGTGCAACTTTCCGTCCTCGATCAGCGAGCGTATAAAATGGTATTTAACGTCGATGTGCTTCGTTCTGGCATGATATACTGGATTCTTGGCAAGATGTATAGCGCTCTGGCTATCACAATAAAGAACTCCTCTCCCTTGCTTCAGATCCAACTCTTCCAAGCACCCGTTCAACCAGATCATCTCCTTGCTTGCTTCAGTCACCGCGACATACTCAGCCTCGGTTGTAGACAAAGTCACAATCTTCTGCAGACGTGAGACCCAGCTCACTGCTGTCGACGCTAAGGTATAAACATACCCCGTGGTGCTTCGCCTCGTATCATGATCACCGGCGAAGTCCGCATCCACGTATCCCTGCAGCACCAACTCCTTCCTCCTGAAACATAGTAGCTTGTTCGTTGTTCCCCTCAAGTACCGCATTATCCACTTTACGGCCTCCCAATGCTGCTTTCCTGGATTGCTTGCAAATCTGCTCACAACTCCCACTGCATGGGCGATGTCCGGCCTCGTGCAAACCATCGCGTACATGAGACTCCCAATGGCTGAAGAATATGGCACCCTGCTCATATGCTCTCTATCTGCATCTGTCTTAGGCGATTGCTCCTCAGATAACTTGAACTGACTTCCAAGGGGTGTGCTAACAACTTTAGCATTCTGCATGTTGAACCTCTGAAGTACCTTCTCAATGTATTCAGCTTGGCTCAAACTCAATGTCCCTTCAGCTTCATCCCTACTGATTCGCATCCCTAGAATCTGCTTCGCTGCACCCAGATCCTTCATTGCAAATTCCTTTGCTAGCTGCCTCTTCAAACTGTTTATCTCTTCTAAACACGGTCCTGCTACCAACATGTCATCAACATATAATAACAAAATAATGAAGCTGGACTCGAACCTTTTGAAATAACAGCAATGATCCGAATTGCATCTTCTGTAGCCATTGTTCTGCATGAAGTTATCAAACTTCTTATACCACTGTCTCGGAGCCTGTTTCAAACCATATAAGCTCTTCTTGAGCTTGCACACCATCTCTTCCTTTCCTTCTTCAATGAAGCCAACAGTCAGAACAAACATCATCACCCCTATCTGGAAGTTCCTCTATATCCATGTACTCGGATCCACCTGTATCCGTAGTGCTGCTCCCACTGCTTTGGCTATCCTTGGCATTGTCCCTGTCCTTGTACATCACCTCCTCATTGAATATCACATCCCGGCTCCTGATGATCTTCCTGTTCTTCTCATCCCAAAGGCGATACCCGAACTCATCAATGCCGTATCCAATGAATGTGCACTTCTGTGACTTAGCTTCTAGCTTGTCCCTGACATGGTCACTGATATGAACATAAGCCACGCAACCAAATACCCGCAAGTGTGAGAGATTTATCTTCTTTCCACTCCAAACCTCCTCTGGAATCCCAAAATCTAATGGAACTGATGGCCCGTGATTAATAAGGTAAGCTGCTGTATGTACCGCATCCGCCCAAAATGTCTTAGGCAGACCTGCATGTAATCGCATGCTCCGCGCACGCTCTGTCAAGGTCCTGTTCATCCTCTCTGCAATGCCGTTCTGCTGCGGCGTCCCTGGAGTAGTCCTCTCTAAGCGAATCCCATTCGTAGCACAGAACCTCTTGAACTCCTCCAGCTCGTATTCTCCACCATTATCTGATCTCAAGCACTTCACCTTCAGTTCTGTCTCGTTCTCGACCATGGCCTTCCACTTCTTGAAGATCTCGAACACCTCTGACTTGTGCTTCATGAAGTAAACCCACACCTTCCTCGAGTGATCGTCGATAAAGGTGACGTAGTATCTCGAACAGCCAAGACACACTGGCTGGGCCCCATACATCTGTATGAATCAACTCTAGCTTCTGAGCCTTAGGTGGCCTTCCACCCTTCTGGAAACTAACCCTCTTCTGCTTCCCAAAGATGCAGTCTTCACAAACCCCGACTTCCACGGTGTCGATCCCGGTTAGCTTTCCTTGTGAATGTAGAATTTTCATCCCTTTCTCGCTCATGTGCCCCAGCCTATTGTGCCACAGATCTGTACTCTCCTTGCCAGCTGCAATTGCGAGGGTGTCACTCGCATGTGAAGTGAGGTAGAGAGTTCCCGTTTTGTTGCCTCTGGCAACAACCATCGTACCGTTGGAGATCCTCCACGAATCCCCGGTGAATGTCGAAACGTAGCCTTCTGCTCCAAGCTGTCCCACCGAAACAAGATTCCTCTTCAGCTTCGGCACGTGTCTCACGTTCTTCAAGTTCCACTTAGAGCCCTTTATCTGTATCTGAACGTCGCCCTTTCCAACAATATTGCAAGGTTCATTATCCCCCAAGTATACTTTACCAAAGTCCCCTGCTACATAGTTCTGAAGTAGTTTCCTATTAGCAGTGGCGTGGAAAGAAGCTCCTGAGTCGATGACCCAAGAATCAGAATCGCTATCCATAGCAAGGATCAAGGCATCCTGCACGATATGAGCCTCCTGCTCACCCGCATCCTTCTTTGGTGCTTTACAGACCGAAGACATATGGCCCTCCTGGCCGCAGTTCCAACACTTCCCTTTGATAGACCTAACCTTCGAGTTCGGCCTCTTCTTCACTGATTTCGACCGATTCCTGTTCTGGTTCCCTTTCTTCTGGCTTCTGCCTCTCTGCTCGAAACTTAGGGCTGAACCTGAACCTTCTGATTCGGACGATTTCCTTCTAACCTCCTCGGATAGAATCATGCTAACAACCTCATTCAGCTTCAACTTCTCTTTCCCCGCCGAATTGCTGATTGCCGTCACACAACCTGCCCAACTATCCGGCAACTGCGATAGTAGTAGAAGGGCCTGCACTTCGTCATCGAACGTGATGTCCACGGAGATAAGTTGATCAACAATCGTGTTGAACTCGCTGAGGTGCATCGTGAAGGACCGTCCTTCTGCCATCTTGAGGTTGAAAAGAGTTTTGACTAGATGCACCTTGTTTGCTGCCGACGGTTGCTCGTACATCTTCGCGAGCGCTTCCATAAGCCCCACCGTTGTCTTCTCCTTCAGAATATTGTGGGCTACTGATTTGGCGAGCGACAACCGGATTTGCCCTAGAGCCTTCCTATCCAGTACCTCCCAATCACCATCTGACTCCTCTTTCTTCTTTCCCTTTTCCTTGCCCAACAGCGGGCGATACAAGTCCTTCTGGTACAGATAGTCCTCCATCTGCGACTTCCAGTAGGCGAAATCCGATCCGTCGAACTTCTCAATCTTTGATTTGCTTTCCTCTGCCATGGCTTTCACACAAATTGCTGAACGAAGCTCTGATACCAGTTGTTGGGGATTCGAAACAATCAATCGAACCCTTGCCCTTCCGGACCTTGTGTTGAAAGTAGGAAAGTAGGAATAAACCACAAATAAATATCTAACCTTGTAAAAACAGTAAAAGAGACGAACACACAGATTTAACGAGGTTCGGCAACGTGCCTACGTCCTCGGGAGCCACACCACACAATCTTTCTATTAATTGAAGAAGAAAATACAAGCTCTCAAACAAGGGGTAAATCTCTCTGAGATTCTCTCTCTCTTTTCAGTCAAAAAGCTCTCTTTTTGATGTCTTTCAAACCCTAAAATCGTTTGGGGTATATATAGAATCCTGGTTGAAACAGATTCCTAAACAGATCAGGAAACTGTCTGGACGATTCGCGGTCGACCGCCGTGCCAAGGCCGGTCGACCGGCCAGAGAAAAATCTGTTTACAGGGTCCTGTGCACATTTGCGGTCGACCGCAGCGGCCACGCCGGTCGACCGACCAGAGCAAAAACTTCTTCTCAGTCTCCTGCAGTGCACGCGGTCGACCGGCTCTGCCACT